TAGGATAACTGAAGATCTTTACCCGGTAGTGGCGAACCCATATACCCTGTTGACCGTATTAACACCTGAATTGACTTGGTTTACTGTTTTAGATTTGAAGGCTGCTTTCTTTTCCCTGTCTCTCCATGAAGCCAGCCAAAAATTATTTGCATTTGAATGGGAAAACCCCAAGAGTGGTCGAAAGACCCAGCTCACTTGGACGGTGTTGCTGCAAGGATTTAAGAATAGTCCTACCATTTTTGGCAATCAGCTTGCGAAAGACTTAGAATCCTGGGAAGCCCCATCTGAGGAGGGGAAGCTGTTGCAGTATGTGGTTGATATCCTGATCGCCACCAAAACAGAGAAAGATTGTATGACATGGACGGTGAGTCTGTTGAATTTCCTGGGACTCCGGGGGTACCGGATATCCAAGAAAAAGGCACAGGTCGTACAACGCAAAGTGAATTATTTGGGCTATGAAATTAGTGCGGGACAAAGAACTTTGGGACAGGCCCATAAAGAGGCAATATGCCAAACTCAGAGACCTCAGACAGTAAAAGAGTTACAGACTTTTCTGGGAATGACAGGGTGGTGCCGATTGTGGATCTATAATTATGGATTGCTTGTTAAACCACTGTATGCGTTGACAGCCACTGAGCAGAAACACCTTGAGTGGAACAAGGAGACCGAACAAGCCTTTGAGCTACTGAAAAAGGCTTTGATGTCGGCCCCGGCCTTGGGACTCCCAGATGTAAGTAAGCCGTTTCTTCTTTACTCCCACAAGAAGCAGGGCATTGCCCTGGGAATATTAGCACAAAACCTTAGTCCATATCGACGGGCAGTTGCCTACCTCTCTAAGCAGTTAGACATGACTGCAAAAGGTTGGCCTGGATGCCTGCGGGCGGTTGCAGCTGTGATACTGAACATACACGAAGCCCGAAAGCTTACTCTGGGCCAGAAAATGACTGTTTTGGTGTCTCACACAGTATCAGCAGTACTGGAAGCAAAGGGTGGACATTGTCTCTCTCCGCAAAGATTCCTGAGATATCAAGCTATATTGGTAGAGCAGGATGACGTGGAGATTGTAGTCACTAACATTGTCAACCCAGCTTCTTTTCTCAGCGGGAACACAGGAGAACCAGTACATCACGACGGTTTGGAAACCATCGAAGCAACATACCCAAGTCGCCCAGACCTGAAAGACAGCCCCATGGAAAACAGAGAAACCTGGTTCACAGACGGAAGCAGTTACGTCCTAAATGGTAATCGACATGCAGGATATACCATCACCACCAGTCAAGAGGTAATAGAATCAAGGGCTTTGCCCATGAACACCTCCGCACAGAAGGCAGAAATAATTGCTCTAACCCACGCCCTGGAATTGGCCCAGGGCAAAGTTGTGAACATTTATACAGACTCAAAATATGCCTTTGGAGTTGTACACGCACATGGAGCAATTTGGAAGGAGAGAGGACTATTGAATTCCCAGGGGGAAAATATCAAACACGCAGAAGAAATTCTGAAGTTACTGGAAGCTGTCCAGCTCCCTGAGTAAGTGGCAATTATGCATATTAAGGCACACCAGAAAGTGAGCTCAGATTTGGAAAAAGGGAATGAGCTGGCGGACAGAGAAGCAAAACAAGTGGCCAAAACAAAGGTAAAAGCAGAAGGGGCCTTAATTCCTGATAGGCAAATCTCCCTAGATGGTAAGCCAGAATATACCAAGGAAGATCAGAAGCTTATCACAGATTTAGAAGGGTCATATAATGAAGAGGGGTGGGCTCATACCCCACAGGGAAAACTAATCATTCCCTCTTGCTTACTGTGACATATGATACGGGAGGAACATAGGAAAAGACATTGGGGGACAGAGGCTCTGTATAAACATTTAATAAGAGAAATTGTGGCTAAAAATTTATATACCACAGTGAGACAAGTGACTCAACAATGCGATCTTTGCCTTCAGACTAATCCTAAGAATACCCCCAAACCAGAAATGGGCCAGACTGAAAAAGGCAATGGGCCTGGACAACAATGGCAAATTGATTTCACAGAACTTCCAAGAAAAGGGGGGTATCGATATTTACTAGTATTAACTGATACCTTTTCAGGTTGGCCAGAAGCATTCCCAACAAGAACAGCTAAAGCCCGGGAGGTAACTAAAATATTAGTGCAAGAAATAATACCACGTTTCGGGGTTCCAGCAACCATGTCCTCTGACAGAGGACCACATTTTGTCTCAAGAATAGTACAACAAATTAGCCGCCATTTGGGTATAGATTGGCAACTTCATACTCCATATCACCCCCAGTCGAGTGGTCAAGTGGAAAAAATGAACCACTTAATCAAACAGCAAATTGTAAAATTAGGACAAGAAGCAAATCTAACATGGCCTCAGTCTCTCCCTTTAGCCCTTTTGCGTATACGAACAAGACCAAGGGCGAGGGAAGGACTGAGCCCCTTTGAAATTTTGTATGGACGACCCTATGAAATACAGAAAGGGGTGTCTGTACAAGCTGGGGACGAAATTGTGACCTCTTACATGATAGCATTAAGTAAACAGCTCAATAAAATCAGGAAACATGTGGTAGAGACTCGAGGGAGAGGTTTGGATGGGCCTGTACATAATATACAACCAGGAGATTATGTGTATATAAAGTCTCTTACAGAAAAAACCCTGGAGCCACAGTGGGAAGGACCATTCCAAGTACTACTCACCTCCTTTACTGCAATCAGAATCAAGGAACAGAACACTTGGATTCATCACACCAGAGTGAAAAAGACACCCAAAACTCCATGGAAAGTCACCCCAAAACCCAGTGGACACTTAGTTTTTACACGGTAATATGGGCAACCGTAGGGACAAGGAGCGTAGCATGGGATGGGAACGTGTTTGTTCAACTCACAAGATGACACTTCATGGGGATTCACTGAGATATGGGAAAAATTAACCTCCTGGTTGCCAAATTTGACATGGTTGAAACAATTGTTTGTCACTGTAATAATGATCATTCTCTTGTCTGTAGTCCTTTGCATAGTGGTTCAATGTGGCGTTTGGTGCTGTAAGAGTACAGGGGACTCTTACAGTGAATGGAAAAAGAATGAGTTGCGACGAAAACTTGAGTCCAACAAATATTTTGAAAGAATAAGGAAACAATGCATTAAAATACTAGAGTTGGATATAGTAAAAGAATTTACTATTTTCTAGAAAAGGGGGGACTGAGATGTGAAACCAAAGGAACCTTAGTAGATATAGTAGATAT